CCTGTCCCTGTCACCTCGAACCCGTCACCCATGACCCTGCTGCCTTCCCTGTCACTTTGAACCCGTCCCCGTGTCCTGCCCCCTGCCCTTTTGCTCTTGTCCCCGCACGCCCTTGTCCCCACGCCTCCAAGCCCCGCCGACCCTCGGTACCCGGTCGGGCAGCGTCCGAAGCTGTCCCCAGACGCTGGTGGCTGCCACCGCCACCCCCAGCTCCTCCCGAGTCTCCCGCAGAGCCGTGGCCACCGCGTCCCCGTCCGCCGGGTCCCGCCGCCCACCGGGGAAGCTGCGGGAGGGATCGGGGTGGGGGGGTCAGGGCCGGCCCGGCCCCGGTGCCCGCTCCCCCCGCCGGTACCTGACGTCGCCGCTGTGGGGGCCGGCGAGGCGGCGGGAGCGGAGCGTGAAGAGCAGCGCGGGGCGGCCGCGCACCGAGCACAGCGGCACCAGCACCGCGGCCGCCGCCGCCGCGCCCCCCGCGCCCCCCGCCGCCAGCCGCGCCCGGCACCGCCGCTCGCTGCCGCCGCTCAGCACATCCCCGGCGTCCCCCGCACCGCCGGCACCGCCCGGGCCCGCCATGGCGCCGGCACGGGGCGGGGAGGGGCAGCGGGGGAGGCGGGATCGGCACCGCCCCCCGCACCGAGCCCGCCCCCGCCGCGGCCCTTCCACACCGAGGGCGGGGCAGCCCCGCCCGGTGTGCGACAGCCTCCTCCGGTGCGGAACGGCCGCTCCGGGTACGAAACCACCCGAATGAAACCGCCTGCCAGCTTGGCCGTGCCCCAGCCTGGTGTGCGACAGCCGCTCCCAGGCGTGCAGCGCTTTGCCTGTGTGTGCGACAGCCGCCCCCAGGTGTGCGACACAAGTCCCACCTTCGCAGTGTCCCTGCCAGGTGTGCACGTCCTGCTCCAGCCCCGCCAGATGTGCAACAACTCCTGCCAGGTGTGCCACCTACCATCTAGCTTTGCAACAACCTTCCGGCTCTGCTAGTTCTGCTCCAGCTGTGCTATAACCCTCATCATGTGCACAGCAGCCAGGTGTGCAATAACCCCTCCGGGGTGTGTCCCTCCTGCTGGTGTGTGACAGCCCCTGCCAGCTGTGTGACCCCACCTTCCAGCTCCACACACAACCCAGCTGTGCAAGGCTCACCTCTGCCCCCCTACAGGCCTTGCAAGGACCCTTCCAGGCGTCCAACAACCCCTTCCAGGCGTCCAACAACCCCTTCCAGGCACAGACTCCCCCCACTTCCGACAGCCCACATGTGCCACTGGCCCTCCGTATCACCAGGTGCCAGGGCTTATCAGGGAATTTCCACTGTGGAAACAGCCTCAACGGTGTTAGAGGCTGGGAAAAGGCTCCTGGATAAATCAGGGAACGCTGGTGACCAGCCAGCCCCTCTTCCCAGAGAACCCCACGGACAGAAACTCTCACACCTGCATCTTCAGCTCTCAGCAGGAAATGATTTTTAAAAAACTGTATAGAAATCATCACTCTCCATGATTCTTTGCTTCCAGAGCCCGTCATTGGCTCCGCAATCCCATTCCCATCTCTGGAATCAGCGGAACCTCTGCTCCTCCCACACATATCGCTTCCCTGCTGGAACTTTGCGGAAAAACAGGCTGTTCCCTCGGCTCATGTTGCCCTGGAAAAGGAAAACGACCATGGAGAGGCCACAAAAGGTCCAGGGTGGCCTCTCCAAACCCCATGGGGCTCCCACCTGGCTCTTCTCCGTGTCCTGGTGTACACCAGCATATCCCAGCTTCAGCACTTACCTCCCTGTGCAGCTGGCTCCAGCAATCCAGCCAGGAGGAGTAGGTGGGTGCATAGGGAAGGAGACCCCCGGCCAACCTGGGGAAGGAGGAAAGACCCACAGGGAATTATTCTCACCTGGAAATCACCCGTTCCGTCTGTAGCTCCACACTGGGTTGAACCCCAAAACAACCCTCTCCCACTTTCAGCAAGGAGGGATCAACCCTGTGGAGCGCTGGAAGCACCTTTCCACCGGGGAATTTCAGTAAAGTGGTTCCAGGAGCTGATCCAGGGCAGAGGGACACAGGTGTCAGTGGGACTAGGGACTCACCCACAGTTGTTCACAGCCATCAGGTTGGAGACCAGGACGAAGGGGTAGGTCAGCATGCTGGCAAAGAACTGCAGGAAAAGCGGGGATCAGTGGAATGTTCCTTCTTCCCTCCACATCGGGAGAACCCCTTGGAGTTCCACCCTGGGGAGGAAGCCCACTCCTGCCACCTCCACAGAGTCACACATGTCCTCAACGGAGCACCCCTTGGCCTGTGGGCTAATGTGGCTGATCCCAGCCTAGCTCCATCCCCACCCTGGCAGCCGCAGGATTCCAGGAACACACCACTCCCTAGGGAAAGGATCCACCTCCTGCCCATGGTCGTACTCACCCCAGTGACCGCCTGGGAGTAGCTCTTCATCTCAGTCATGGTGGAGACCTGAGGGAGGAGCAACAGCACCTGAATGCCCCCAAAATGGGATTGTGGCTCCCAGAATACCCCTGGAGCTGTCCCCCGTCAGCTCCTGGCACTCCGGATCGCGGCGCGGAGCCTACCCCGTTCTCCAGCGCGTACGTGTTGATGAGGTAGGCCAGCATGTTGCACAGCCACAGGGAGAGGATGTCCCCGAGGAGCCGCGGGATGAGGCCGCTGCGAGGGAGGAAACAGTGGGAATGTTGGCTGAGGGCTGGGATCCGACTGTGCTGGTTTGGGACAGGGGGTGGCTGTTCCCACAGAAGCTGGGTGACAGGGGAACAGCCATCCCAGGGAGTAGGGATGCTCAGGTGAGTGATCTGGAGCTGCTGGAGGGATCCAGGATACTCCCAAGAAGGCTTTGGGACCTTCCCACTGATGCCACCGCCACGGTGCCCCTCCCGGCCTTGCTGGCACTCACGCGAAGAATCCCAGGATTCCCTCTTCCCGGTAGATTGTGGCGAAGGCGCTTAGTGTCCCACTGGGATAGCGAGAAAGAGGAGGGAGAATGTCAGGGCCATCCCAGGATCCCAGGGCTCCTGAGCACCCAGAGCCCCCGGGCCGTACCTGTACTTGGTCTCACGGCCGATGAACTGCACCATGCAGCGCAGGGTGATCACTGTGGGGACACGGGGGTGACACGGCAGGGACAGCAGGCACCTGGCACTGCGCCCCACGGACCCTTGGGATGGGGGGACACCTACCGTGGAAGGGGTGGGTGATGAGGGTGGCGGCAGAGCGGGCGACCATCTCCCGGGAGGTCTGGAAACAAAGGGAGCATCACCAGGAGGGGACAGGGATGCGACATCCCACTGCCTTCCTCCTTCTCCTCCTCCTCCTGCTGCTCCTCACCTCCTTGAGCACCTGCTCCAGTGAGGACACTGGCTCCTTCTTGCTGGCTCCAGGCTGGAGGGGGAAGGAGGAGTCAGGTGGGAACAGCTGCCCGGAGAGGGGACGCTGTCCCCAGGGTGAGGGTGGAAGCTCCCGGCCCACTGGAGCGCTCCGGATGCAGGGCTGGGGCTGTCCAAATCCAGGGGACGTGGGGAGGAGGGAGAGAGAGGAGAGAAAGGAGGGGAGAAGGAAAGAACAGGGGGGAACAAAGGGGAAAAGAAGGAGGGAAAGCATGGAGAAGGGAAAACAGACAGAAGAACAGAATGAAGGAAAGAGGGAAGGGGAGAGAGAGAAGAGAAGGGAAAAAGAAGGAGAAAAAGAAGAAAGGAATGCGGGAAGGAAGAAGAGAAAAAAGGAGAAGGGAGGAACAGAGAAATAGAGGGGGAAGGGAAGGGAAGGGAAGGGAAGGGAAGGGAAGGGAAGGGAAGGGAAGGGAAGGGAAGGGAAGGGAAGGGAAGGGAAGGGAAGGGAAGGGAAGGGAAGGGAAGGGAAGGGAAGGGAAGGGAAGGGAAGGGAAGGGAAGGATGGATTCCCCATGGGAAGCATCTCTGCACCCACCTCAGCCTGCTCGGCCTCCTGGTACCGCTGTGGAGCAAAGGGCAGGGTCAGCGCAGGGCCAGCACTGTGCAGGGAGCCAGGGGTCCCGGTGTGCCCCAGTCCCGGCGGCAGAACCCCTGGTCCCCGCAGCGCCGCGGGCCCGGCGCCCCGCCCGTGCCGGTACCTGCAGCACTTTGCTGTGCACCACGGTGCCGATGGCGCTGGAGCAGAGGCGGGGGGCGAGGCCTTTAAAGAGTCCTGCTCTCCCGTCCACCTTTACGATGTGCTTGGCTGGGGACAGCGGGACCGTCAGCCCCGGGGGGACCCCACGGCGGCGCCGGGACAGCGCCGGGGCGGCCCCACCAGGGCGGACTCACCGTAAGAGAAGAGGCCGGGCAGCTGGTATACCTGGCGGCCGAAGATGTTCCTCCCCAGGGTGGGCGGCAGCGGCTCGTAGCCAACCTGCGGCGGGAACGGGCAGGCTGTACCCCCCGCGCGGCCGATACCTGGCCCGGTACCCCCTCTCAACCCCGCCATTCCCGCCCTTACCTGTACCAGCACCTTCACGTACATGAGCGGCTGCGAGAGCACGGTGAGCCCCGAGCCCAGCAGCACCTGCGAGGCCGCGTCCGCCATGGTGCCGCCCCGGCGTTACGGCACAGAAGGACACGGCCACGGCTGCCGCCGCTTCCGCTTCCGCCTCCCGGTACTTCCGGCGTCGCCGTGACGTACTTCCGGCCGTTGGGGGCGCCCTGGGAGTGCAGCGGCTGCCATGGAAACGGCGCCGCGGGTGTTGCCATGGCAACGGGGCCTGCGGGAATGGGGCACCCCCGGGCCTGTGGGGACAGCGGGGACAGCGCTCAGGAGGCATCCGGGTGGCAGAGCGAGCAGCACCACATCCCGAGAGCCCAAGGTGATAGCATGGGGGTAGGGCTGAGGTGATACCAGGCAACAGAGGTGACACGCTGATGGCAGGGCCCACACCATGGTGGCTCAAGGTTGGCTGCCAGCAAGACTCTGGCCAGGCTCGGGGACAGGAGGACCCCTGAGGGTACATCACAATGAGAACAGGGAGCACCAGGCAAGGCCATGGAGGTGGCAACATCTTTACTGCCGAGCGCAGGCACAGCAGCGTGAGGCCACTGCACGGACAGCGAGGGGACGTGCCCTGTCCCTGGGCCTGTGCCCGCCCCGCTGCCAGGATGGCCCCAGGAAGGCCCCCACGGCTGGATCCTGGGAAGAGTCACTGGTGGCACCACGGTGGCGGAGGCTCAGCGGTGGCTTGCGGTGTGTCGCAGTGCTTGTGCCACTGTCCAGCTGATGCCTTCCCCTGGTGGCACAGTGGCCATTCCCTGCTTCAGGTACCCTGGAAAGGGCCACTCCAGAGTCAGCTCCAGGCACCTTTCCTGTAGCGGCACGGGGGCCATTCTCTGCTCCAGCTGCCCTGGGAAAAGTGACACTGGAGCTGGCTCTGGGCTTCTCTCCAGCACCAACACCTCCACTCTGGACACCAGGAAGAACTGGATGCCTGCGGGTCCCAGCCTGGGGGGCACAGGAGAGGCATCAGACCCTCTTGAGGAGTGGGACAGCACTGGGGACAAGTGTCCCTGCAGGACTGTCCCCTCGGGGCCTGGATGGGCTGTGGTGTCTCCAGGCTCACCGGGATGCTGGTGTGGCTCCGGTTTGTTCGGCGCAGGACATTCCTTGCTCTCCGTCTCTGCAGCTGCTTCTTCCTGCGTGGCTCCATCTGTGCCAGGTGGTAAAGTGTCACTGGGATATCTGCACCCTCTGTCACCATGTTCCACCCTGGCTCTGCATTCCTGCCACCTCAAAATCAGTGGCACGTGGAGACTCACTGGTCGGTCAGGGCTGTGGAAGTCATCTGGGATCCCCTCGGACACGGAGCTGTCAGAGCCACTGGTGCTGCAGGGGGAAAGAACCACCTGCAGCTCCCAGTGCCATCAGAGGGTAACATGAGGTGGCAGGGGATGACATACCTGGACTCAAGCTCTGAGGGGGACACATCGCTCCAGTTGCCTCCAGAGCCTGGCTCACGACCCATCTGCCGCTGCAGCAGCGCATCCACCTCCACCAGGCACTGCTGGAGCTGTGGGACAGTGCCAGTGTCAGGGTGTCATCATGGTCCCGTGGCACCAGGGCACCCTGGGCCAGGTCTAAGCCCACCTTGGCGGGCACAGGGTCGCAGAAGTCGAGCAGGGTGTCACAGAGGAGGCGGCCCAGTGACTCGAGGTCCTGCACGCTAAAGTGGGAGCTCCTCCCACCTGAAGGGGACAGAGAAAAGGAAACAAGTGCAGCTCCCAACCCAGGACCACCCTGCTGGCACTGTCCCCCATGGCTGTGGCAGCCCCTCACCCAGCGTCGAGCCACTGAAGGCCACTTCTAGGGTGTAGCTGTGGGAGACGCCCAGGCGCCACATGGAGACCCGGCCTGTCCCCTCTTTGCTCTTCTGCACCTGGTACTTGCAGCTGGAAAAGGAGAACTGGGGATCCCCAGGGTCAGAGGGGTCCCAACCTCACAGGGACAGCTTGGGAAGCAGCACAGAGGGTGGCTGCATTCCCGCTGTCACCACAACATGTGGCTCTGAGGCATCCATGTCCCACCTTGTCGGGGGCGTTTTTGCTCAGCATCAGGGGGAACACACGCTGGTGCAGCCGTGTCGCGGTGCCATCCCTGCCGGCATCGCAGCCGTACATGAAAACGTTGTTCTTTCGGCTGTGCCCATGGAAGTCGCAGTACAGCACCACCTCCCGCTCTGCCAGCAGCCTGCACACATCGGGATATGGCCACCAGCACCGCCGCAGCAGCAGCCCTGTCCCACCAGCTTCCCGCGCCTACCTCACCTCTGGACCATGGCCCGCAGGTGCCACACGCCGGGGAACGAGCCGGGAAGCGCCTTCCCATAGGCCCTGTTGGGATCCCGTCCCGCCAGGGAGCAGCGGGAGTTGCCCACCACCACCCCGTCAGGGTTGAGCATCGGCACCACCTTGAAGACAAAGAGGCGGCGCAGGAGCTTCGCGTCCTCATGGCTGCTCAGCAGGAAATCGAGGAATCCCCTCATGGCCCAGGAGCCGCCGCTCTCGCCGGGGTGCACGCGGGCACTTGCCACCACCACCCGCTTGCCGGCCACACCGCCTGGGCTGGTGATGGTCAGCAGGTAGACGGTGTTGCCGGCCAGGCTGCGGCACAGCGCCTGCACCGCGCAGTACCGCGAGCGCGCCGGGTCGGCCACCAGCGCGCGCAGGTAGCGCTGCAGGTCCGAATAGGTGTAGGGGTAGCAGGCGGCGAAGAAGCACGTGTCGCCATCATGTGGGAAGCGCACGGACCAGCTGAGCCGGAACATCGGCGGCTCCCCCGTGTTGTCACGGTAGTAGCGGACGTCGGTCCCGACCCGGCGCCAGCCTATGCCACGGCTCTGGGCATCCCGCTGGGAGTAGAGCAGTGGCTGCAGGCCCTGGCCATAGAGGCTCTTGGGCTTGGCCATGTTGGCGATGGTGAAGTGGTAGAGCGGCTCCTGCCGTGTGTTTTGGACACGGAAGTAGAACCACTGTGTGTGTTTGGCCGTGTACAGGTCTGGCCGCAGCATCAGCACGTACTCGTAGGGGCCCCTGTGTGGAGAGGGAAGGGCAGTGCTCAGGATCCAGGCTGACACAAAAGGCCCCACGCCCCCCAGCCTCTCTCTTACACCTTGATGGCCTTCTGGAGGTTCCCACTCTCAAAGCGGGACTCGAAGAGCAGCGTGGTATCCTGGGGGCCCTCCAAGGGGGCTGCTGGTGAGGAGAATGGCCCTGGGGCTCCCCTGACCCGAGCACAGGTAAAGCAGGAGCCTTGGAACACTGTGGGGGGAGCAGGGACAGTGGTGGGGGTCGGGGTAGAGCGGAGGCACTCATGGGCGCTGCCCATGCTCCATTACCTGGGCTGGAGTGGTAGACAACAGTGCCTTGCTCCACACTGAGGGTGTACAGGGCCTGCTCCGGGCCCGTGGGTGGGCAGAAGGGCTCTGGTTCGGGGGGGACCCACTCTGGGAGAGGGGGAGACACAAACACCATACACACAACAGGGGTCTGGCACAGGGGTGAGGCGGGGGGACAGCTGGAGCATCCCCTCACCAATGTGCTCAATCGTCTCCTGGATGACTTCACACTCCACAGGCCAGCGGGGAGCGGGGAGGGAGAATGGAGCCTGTGGTTCTCCTGGAGACCTCCAGGGCTGCGTTAAGGGAGCCGGTCTGCCCTGCTGGAGTGTCCACACCAGCCTGGGGGCTGCAAGAGCACCGGGAAGGGCTGGGGGTCTCCAATGTGGGCATCCCCCAAAACCAAGGCAGGGACAGGCCCTCCCACCACACCTGCTGTGCTGGGGGACTGTGAGGGGCTGCAGGGTCTCACTCACCGTTTGGCCCAGGACCTCGTTGCCAGCTAGGGTTGGTGTTGCCCATGGTGGATGCCTTGGGATGCTGCCCAGAGGGTTTTCCCGGGGACATGGCAGTCTCTTCCCTGCCCGTCTCGTCTTGGGGAGAACAGCGCTGCAGCCAGGGGCAGGAGGGGACACAGCCCAGGGACAGGAGGGCAGAGTGGCCAGGACTCACCTCGGAAGTAGCCATAGAAGCGCAGGTGGGCGCGGATGAAGCTGTCGTAGGGCTTCAGGACCTGTCCCCCACTGAACCCTGCAGAAGCCCCCTCCCCTCCCTGGGCAGCGCGGCGCCCTGCAGGCTCCATGGCTGTGAGAGCCCTGGGAGACCTGGAACAGCAGTGGCAGTGTTAGGGCTGGGCTGGCACTTGGCTGTTGCTGAGCTACAAGAAGGAATGGGGCGGTCCTGGAGCAGAGCTGGGAAAGGATCCAGAGGGATTTTACAGTCATTAAGATTGGAAAAGACCTCCAGGATCATTGAGCCCAGCCTGTGATCAATCCCCACCTTGTCACCCAGACCACAGCACTGGGTGCCATGTCCAGTCCTTCTTTGGACAGCTCCAGGGCTGGGGACTCCACCACCTTTCTGAGCAGCCCCTTCTGATACCTGACACCACTTTCTATCAAGAAAATTCCTCCCCTCGTCCAAACCAACCTCAACTTACCCTGGCAGAGCTTGACGCTGTTTTTTCTGTCCTGTCACTTGCTCCCTGGCAGCAGAGCCTGACACACCCCCTGGCTGCACCCTTCTGACAGGGAGTTGTAGGGAGTCAGAGGGTCCCTCCAAGACTCTGTCACTCCAGGCTGAGGCCCCACAGCTCCTCCTGGTACTCCAGACCCTTCTTCTGCTCCATTCCCTTCTTTGGACAGCCCCTCTTGCCATGAGGGCTCCAGATTTGTCCCCAGGGCTGGAGGTGGCCCAGCAGTGTCAGAACAGTGGACAGCCCAGGTGCCATCAGCCTTTTGTGCACCTGGGCCCATGTCCAGCTGCTCTTACCAGCACCCCCAGGGCCTCTCCCAGCTTTCCAGCCTCTCTTCTGCCAGCCTGGAGCATTCAACAGGGTTGGTGTGACCCAAGCATAGGACCTGGCACTTGGCCTTTACCTTCAGCTCTTCAATCCAGCCTGCCCAGTTTTCTCTGCAGAACTTTCCTGCTTCCACAATGCACATGCCCACCCAACTCATAATCGTGGATTGCAGGGATCTGTTGTGATCCCCCATTCCCATCTACCACCTGCCCTCAGCAGAATCAATGAGATGGCACTTCCCAAACTGCTACGATTTATTGGACAATGGTCAAAAGAACTGTACATCTGTAAAAAAACAAAACAAAACAAAAAAACCCCAAGAGGTGGGTACAGCACTGCATGCCTCATGTGCTCGAGGCCGTTTTCCTCCGTTTCAGCCGTGACCGCCAGTCCTCTGGCAGTGCCTCGAAGTTGGCATTCCTTTCAGCCATGCCACTGCAGGGATAAAACAGGATGTCAGCACCCAGCTGGCCCTCGCATGGATCCCCCACCTTTACAAGGCACCAGGAAATGTCCTGGTGCCTGCCCCTGGGGTCTGTACCTCATCAACTGCTGCTGCTTCCATTCCTCGATGCGCCGCTGGGCTGTGGTCTCCCGGTCCTCCTCACTGGAGCTGGAATTCTCTTCCTCATCCAGCTCCCGCTGGATACTTTGCCACTTCTTCACCAGCGATGGCATCTTTGTCTTGCCCTTCTTGCCCTGTGCCACAAAAATAACAGTGGTGACCGCGGCTGGAAAGGGAGGAGGGAAAGAACAGTGCCAATGCGAGACCACCACCCATATGGCCTACCTTGTCCTTGCGCCCCTTCCTTGGCTTCTCCTTCTCTGGAGGCGGCGGCGCCTTGGGGGTGGGAGGTGGGGGTGTCTGTGGGGGTGGTGGGGGCGGTGGCTGCTCAGCTGCAGTGCCCGCGGCTGGTGGGGCTCCCCGTGCCGGTGCCGGCGGCGCGGTGGCCGTGGTGGCCAGGCTGACAGGCACAGCGCACTCCGAGTATCCCATCATGGAAGGCGCAGCTGGTCCTGTCACACCCAGGTAGCTGGACTGCAGCCCCAGCGCCATGGGCTGAGGGCCGGCGTGGCCTGGAGCCATGCGGAGGTTGGGGCGTGCCTGGATGTCGCTCTGGAGGCGCTGGCGTGGCCTTAGGGAGGCCAAGGGCACGGCTGATGGCTGGTACTTGCCCGTGGCCATCAGGGGCTGGCTGTAGATGACAGGGCAGCTGCCAATGGTGGCCGTGCGCTGCATTAGCCCCGGGCTCATCTCCACTGCTTTCCTCTTCTGCGGCTTGGCAGAGAGCAGGGGGGATGGGCTGGGATCGACAGCAGCCTGGAAGAGAGGGCTGAGGTGAGTGTTGAGCCAGGAGCACCACTACACACCCATTTCCCAGTCTCACACTCTGAAATCAGTGGAGCTCTGGCTCCACTGCTTACCTGGCTGCTGCTGGCAGCGGGGCGCACCAGGGACTTCAGGGGAGCATCTTCCTCTGTTCCTGGGGCAGGCGGCTCCTCACCCCCCTCATCTTCCATCTCCACTTCCTGGATCTCCCCATCTTCTCCAGGCGGTGGGGGTGGCGGTGGAGGTGGTGGAGGTGAGTCTGGGGGGGGCGGAGGTGGCGGAGGCATTTCCAAAGGCAAGGGAGGTTGGAGGACTGGGACGGAGGACTGAAGCAGAGTCCAAAACGGAGTGAGCGGCATGAGAGACGTAGCAGGAACTTGGCCTGAGAAGGATTCTTTACAAAGGGAGCCTGAGGAACACACATTGACACAGGCTTGAACGCCCGGCCTATGGTCTGTACCACCTCCTCCTGCCCATGGTCCCACTTGGAGGCACCGCCACCATGGACTGCCCTGCCCTGCACCCCCACCTCTGGGGCCAGGGCACCCAGTGCCAGCGAGGCGTACCTGCAGGGCGCTCGGCGGCCCCCTCGGCGTGCTCTCCTTTGTCTTTGGGAGGTGGCTTTGGAGGACTGTCGGGTTTTCTGTCCGTGGCGCCTCGCTGTCCCTCCTCTTCGTCCTCCCCGTCGGGGAACTCCCATTGCGACTCTCCCGAGCGCTCGTTAACATAGAAATAGCGTCTATGCTCCCTAGATCACAAGAAAGAGAAGGAGGCTTCAGCGTCCCTTCTCCGCCCCCGACACTCCGAGGCGGGCCTGCCCACGACAGCGGTGCGCTCTCGCAGGGGAGACCCTCGTGCAGCAGGGCTGCCGCTCTCCCACACACAGCAAACAACTTTGAGGACAGAGGCAGGAGAGGCCCGAGCCGACTCGCTCAAAGCTATTTGCTATCGCTGGCTGCGGGAACGTCGCCCTGAGCCCCCCCGCTCCGAGGGAGAGGAGGGCCGGGACCGCTGGCAACGTCTTGCTAACACTGGGACTTTCAGCATGGCCTTGGCTGAAAGTCGCCCTCCGAGAAGAGGCACAGGGGAACAGCCCAATGGAGGGAAGCGGCTGCCCCCCTACCCCATGGTGCGCAGTTTTTTATGATACTCTTGGTGTCAAACACACAGTGAATGCTAGAGAGAGGGAGCGGATCTGGGAGCTGAAAAACAAAAGAGCAAAGATTTCAAACAAAGGAAAATTAATCAAGAAAGCCAAATAGACAAAGAAATGTTTGGGTCTGACCTGTTGGCAGGAGACAGAAATCTTGTTCTTCATTCCATCGGTGAGTTGAAGTTTGTCCTTTGGAAGAGCTGTTGGTCAGAAGAGCTGATCCAGAGATCCTGCAAAGTTCACAGAGCTCTCGCATGCGCGACCCCCCAGGCCCGCCCCTCACAGCGCTGGACACTCGCGAGAGGGACAACCAGCTCTGTCCATCAGGGAATCAGCTCCGTCGCAAAGCACTGGGCACTCCGTCTGGATCCTCCAGTTTGGTGGCTGGCCCAAACTCTGCGAGTGCCGGACGTTTCTCTGCCTGCCCAGCACTAACAGAAGCCGCTCTCAGTCTGCCAGAGGGACGGCGCCAGCGTCGTCGGGTGGTTGATGGTCACAAATCATGTCTGAGATGTCAGAGATGAAAGGTGAGAAAGGAGGAGAGCGCGTACCTGTCCCAGTGGCAGGACCAGCCTTTAGGGGTGGCGTTTATTTCGTATTGTTTAAGCTGTTCGGCTGCGTCTTGGAGTTTGCGTTTGAGGTAGTTTCCATTGAGAGCACCTTCTCGCCAGTCTGCAATGCGGGTCTAGAGGGCAAGAACCGGGGGAAGCCGGTGAGGTGGGCTGCCAGTGGCCCTGGGGGGGGCGGGACTCGAGGATCGGGAGGCTCCCTTCCGGCACAGGACGCGGGGGGCCAGGAGGAGGACACCCCGCCTCCGTGCCAAGCCACGCTCTCCCCCCGCCGAGGAAGGGAGGGCCCTGCGTGGCGAGGCGCCACGAGGCTCACGCAGCACCGGCGCTCGGACGGCGGATTGCATCCGATCCGCTCCGGAACACGAGGCCGGAGCGAGGGGCGAAGGCTCGGTTACCTCTGTCTGCAACAGCAACATGTGGAAGTTGGAGATAGATTGTCTGTTGATGCCCAGGAACTCCAATTTACTAGTCAGAGTATTTGCCAGCTCTCCAATCTGAAACTGCCAGGAGAAAGGGCAGAGTCAAGAGCTGCCCTCTGGGAGCAGCATGGGGCAGCTACAGCCCCGTGGCTCTCAGGAAACACCGCTTGAGACCACCCACGGCCCCTCAGCCTGGAGGGACTGGGACATGCCACCCTGGCCCTGTGTGCCTGTCATCCCCTCTGTTAAATCCCACTACATCCTGTGCCCCAGGGACAGGGCAGTGTGGGTGGCTGGGTGACAGCTCCTCCACAGATTGCGCTTGACTCTGTGTAGAAGAACAGCACGGGCTCAGGTAGCTTCGATACTTTGGAGTTACAGCAGAACCATTGCCACAGCAGGTATCTAAGAATGTTTCCCAAATAAATGGGCCAGGATGCCATTCCAGGTTCTGTAAATAATTGCTTTTCCAGAGAAACTAGCTGGAAAGCACCAGCAAGGGATAACAGCTCTGGATTTACTGCAGAGCAGAGGCAGCAGCTACATCAAAACTCAGGTCAGCTCATGGCAGCCATGGCTACTCAACCCCAGCATCCCACGGGAGTGAAACCTCCAATGCAGGGACATGGGGATCCCTGCGTCCACCTCCCTGATTGGAGGCACTGCACAGAAGCAGCCACAAGCCAGAAAGGAATCTGAACAAGAATGCCTACAAGTGGCATCACCACTGCTTTAAGGAGGGCTCTTAAAATGTCTGGTTTTAACTTCCCTCCTCCAAAGAGGCTTTGGAATGTCCACCAAAACCACCAAGGAAGCATCTGTCCCTAGAGAGGGGATGGGCCAGAAAAGCAAGCCCTAGAGAAGACCAAGGCAGGCATATGAATTCCCATGTTAATGTGTCTCTGGAGAAGCCAGGGAACATCATGGAGCAGAGGGTGACTTGGGAGCGGTGGCCCCGGCGCAGCTCCTGTACCCAGGGAGATCCCAACCTGATGAGCAAATGGTACTGGTTACCCAGGGAGCCGGCATTCCTCCAACAGCTCTAAGGGAATCCTGCATGGAAAAGCACCACATGGTCTGTCACAGAGCCCACTGGGACCAGAAGGAGGGTGTGGACTGCAGAGAAAACCAGCAAGTCCAGCCCTGCTACAGGCTTTTATTCTTTTTATTTAAATAAATTAATTTAAAAATCAGGTCTCAAACAGATGCTGCACTGAGGAAGGCTCAGTTTTGGTCTGGGAATGTTGCAACTCAAAATCCTTTAAGGAGTTGCTTTACGAGGGAGATACGAGATTTTTTACAAGGACAAAAGGACCTTCCCTTTCACACCACAAAAATTATTTAAGTGGTGGGAAATGAGGACAGGGACGGGCAACTCTCACTGCAGGTTCCACCACAAACTGGCGATTCCCCATCTGCCACAGGGAGGTGACAACATTTCCCAACGTCACAGAATAACTCCAGAGCCAAATTTTATGCTGCAGGATATCTCAGGGTAACAAGTGACATGGGGACTAAAGGATAAATAGGAAGTATCTTCCCTACTGCTCTGTCATACTGCCCTAAAGCCTGGAGCTCTGCTATGGATCAGGGAATTGATCCAGTGCAGCCAAAGGAGCAAACCAA